TAATGCATAAGTACCCCCTAAACTATGAACGAAATCGCAATGACACACCTAAACTTAAAGAGGATCCTATTACCTCCTAAACTATTTTAAAATAAAATAAACACACCTCAAAAGTTGATGTGCCAGAGAGAGTGTGCATACTCTCTTGAAAGCAAGTGAAGACCAAAAAAATTGAAAATATATTCTTTTTTAATTGGTCTATTTACAATTAGTTAGTACACATAATTATTAACATTAAAACTTTTATATATTTTTTTTATTCTTTTAATTTTTTCTTTGTAAAATATTTAATTTAGTTTCATCCTCACTTTAAACGTTCTATTTTTTTTCTCTTTGATTAATTTCTTATCTTTTCACTTTTAATTACTTTTTTAAAAAAAATTACGTATCTTTTTTTTAAAAGTGTCCTTTTAAATTTTAACGTTTTAATTTTTTTATGTTTTATTTGATTTTCTTCACTTATTTTGATAATTGTTCAGATTAACTTATTTTAAATACACCACAATTGAAATTAAATTTGAAATTATGCATTATGCATTGAATATATATGAAATTGTAATTTATGTGCAAATAGGCAGCAGAAATTGCTAAAAAAAATTGTAGAAAAGCGACGATCAATGTCCTTTAATTTTGTCTATCGTTTTTTTTTAAACAAAATAATGTCGTATGTCGCTTATTTCAAAGATTAAAAAAATAACAACAAAAACGACGCAGTCCGTCATTCCAAAAGACGTTGTCCGTCGCTTTTCGAGAAAAGCGACGAGTCACTTTTTCATTGATTTTGACCAAAACAACATCATAGTCTGTTGGTTTTGACCGACGTTTTTCAAGTATTTTTAGTATTGTCAGGGGCGGCTCAAACCAGTTGGTGGCCTAATGCCAAAATTAAACTAGAGGCCTTAAAAAAAATTTAAAAATTATATATGTTTTTATTTCAAATCTATTTTTCTAACTTTTTGAGATGCAAAGTTATTTATAATTTTTGTGTAGTCAATCTCTTCTAATAATTCTTTTTCAATCGATAATATAGCCAAACCACTTAATCTTTCTTGAGACATTGTTGATCTTAAATTAGATTTTATTATTTTTAATTTTGAAAAACTTCTTATGGCTGAAGCGATTGTTGCAGGAATTGTTAACATTATTCTATAAGCAATGCAAGCATTTGGAAAAGAATCAAGTATTTTTATTTGATTAAGTATCTCAATTAGAGTATTGTCTTCTACTTGTATGATTTTTCTTAACACTTTTAATTCAGAAAATAAGTCTAAACCATCAATATCCCAGTGAGTATTATGTTTTAAGGAACATTCTAGATTAAGACAATATTTTTTTGAATTCTCATCATCTAATGATCTCAATTTTTTCCCACTAAATAGAAAACCAAAAATATTTTCATATACTTCAAATTGTTCAAATCTAAAACATAAACTATATTTTTTGAAAATTATCAATAGAACAAGTAAATTATTAAGTTTTGATTAAGAGAGATGTAAGATCAGAAAAGAAAAAGAGAGAAGAAATAGAAGAGAGGAAGAGAGAATGATAGAATATATAAAAATAAATTAGGTAAAAAAAAAAAGATAACTTGTACAATTAAAAAAGTAAACATTGAAAATGTAAAAAGTAATAGTCATATCAAATCATCTCATTAATTTCGTTTGAATTTAAAGTCTTAGTTCTATTTTATTTTATTTTAGTTTAATCCTACCTAAAAAACCAAAAAATGGGGCCCCCTAAATTTGGGGCCTAAGGCCAAAGTATTTTTTTCAAAGCTTATCAGCCGCCCCTGAGTATTGTATGTATAGTATATCAAAATATCATTTAATATGTCAGATGGAAAATTGTCAAAAATAAATATATTTAAATGAAGTAAAAAATAATTAAAATGAAGGAAATAATAACATAAGGACAAGAGCATGCGGCAAACTTAAGAGTGATGACTCCACCTGATGACGCATAAGAAGATCAGAGCTGTGTTTAGTTTCAAAACGATTGTTGTGAAACTCTGTGCGAAACTTCTCTATCTCTGCCAGGTCTTCCAGAGACCCGAGATTTGGATCAAACTCCCACACCTGCCTCCCTATGTGTCTGTTTAACGTTCGAAGCCATGGACTACCTCCTTCACCAACCTTCAACTTCCACATTCTTCTAAAACAAAATTATTCTAACTGGAGAAAGAAAAATGTCTTAGTTTACTCAACTTGGTGTAAGAAGGAAAGATGGTGAAACGCAAAGTGTATTTAAAGTAGAGAGTGATGTTCTAATGTTGAAGTATGACTATTTGAATTACGCGGCCAAACTTGGACCATTTTCTCTTACTGAATTTTTTTTAATTAGCGCTTTAATGAAGCGGCTCACAATGCATATATATTATTAGATATGTTTACTTTTTCTATTCACTAAGATATTTTCTCCCGTAATATTTTCCTAACCAAACAATTACTTAAAGTATAACAAAAGCAGGGGCGGCTGATAAGCTTTGAAAAAAATACTTTGGCCTTAGGCCCCAAATTTAGGGGGCCCCATTTTTTGGTTTTTTAGGTAGGATTAAACTAAAAAAAAAAACTAAGACTTTAAATTCAAATGAAATTAATGAGATGATTTGATATGACTATTACTTTTTACATTTTCAATGTTTACTTTTTTAATTGTACAAGTTATCTTTTTTTTTTTTTACCTAATTTATTTTTATATATTCTATCATTCTCTCTTCCTCTCTTCTATTTCTTCTCTCTTTTTCTTTTCTGATCTTACATCTCTCTTAATCAAAACTTAAGAATTTACTTGTTCTATTGATAATTTCAATTTTCAAAAAATATAGTTTATGTTTTAGATTTGAACAATTTGAAGTATATGAAAATATTTTTGGTTTTCTATTTAGTGGGAAAAAATTGAGATCATTAGATGATGAGAATTCAAAAAAATATTGTCTTAATCTAGAATGTTCCTTAAAACATAATACTCACTGGGATATTGATGGTTTAGACTTATTTTCTGAATTAAAAGTGTTAAGAAAAATCATACAAGTAGAAGACAATACTCTAATTGAGATATTTAATCAAATAAAAATACTTGATTCTTTTCCAAATGCTTGCATTGCTTATAGAATAATGTTAACAATTCCTGCAACAATCGCTTCAGCCATAAGAAGTTTTTCAAAATTAAAAATAATAAAATCTAATTTAAGATCAACAATGTCTCAAGAAAGATTAAGTGGTTTGGCTATATTATCGATTGAAAAAGAATTATTAGAAGAGATTGACTACACAAAAATTATAAATAACTTTGCATCTCAAAAAGTTAGAAAAATAGATTTGAAATAAAAACATATATAATTTTTAAATTTTTTTTAAGGCCTCTAGTTTAATTTTGGCCTTAGGCCACCAACTGGTTTGAGCCGCCCCTGAACAAAAGTAAATGATCAATTTTAGATTTTCTATCATCTATAAGACGTACCTAACCTATATGTACAACTACTTCGATAAATTAATATACTCTGACTTCTAAGCATGTCTTGATTAGTATTATATAAATAAATTGAATTTCTTATATTTTGCTTGAGTTATCATAAACATTTTTATAAATTGCAACCATCACGACGTACTCCATCGAGCAAGAGATATTTTCCTTCTAAATCATATGAAACAGAAAGGGAAAAGGGTCAACATGCATGTCGAAGCTTAATGTTTAGTGGAGTGTATAATAGAGATTATTTAAAAAAAAATAAAAATGAAAGAATCAACTTTTTAAACAATTTCCATATATTAGTTTTATAGGTAGATCAATTGATAAAATCATGTCAAAATATTATACTTCTCTTTGTTGTTTAATTTACCATCATTTAAAGTTTGCAATTGTTAACTTTTATGTGACATCTTGATATTTCCATCCCAACAAGCTAAAGACAACTCATAGTGAGTTCAAACCAAATTGCAATAAATTATTATTTTTTTAAAAAGAAAAAAGGTTTAAACATGTCATCGAACTCTGAGAAAGAAAAGGCTCATCTGTATTATCATCCGTTAAAAGTTTGGTTCATCTATATCATTTCATAAACAAATAATGGCATGGATGAGCCTTTTCTCAAACGGAAATGAGATAGATAAGCCAAACTTGTAATTGATGGCATAAATGAGCCTTTTTTTCAAAGTTCAATGGTATATTTGAGGTTTTTCCCTTTGTTTAAAAATTTGCAATGATTAGTTTTCACATGATGTCTTGTTGTTTAGATCCCAACATGTATAACTTACAAAGTAAATAATATAATGTTATAGAGATAAATATTTAAAACTAAAATAGAGAAATGAACATAATATGTATACTGTTGTGGGTTCAACTCCACAAGGCATGTTTGTGATAAATAAAAAGTGTTCAATTTCACAGATTGATTGATAAGTAACAAGTATTCATTGCTTGTTCAACTAGAAACTCATTCAGCTTCAGAACGAAATGCATAAGCTGTGAAATATATATAGTTCACTGATAACTGTCACTCATTGAGGCTTAAGTAGCTGAGACTGATATTGTCCTAGAGCCCAAATTGGGAAGATGTTCCTATATGCAGAATACGATATCATGCAATTCTTGTTGAACACCCCGCTTATCTCCTGCATCCAAAATTCAACATTATCAGTAAATATATATGGAAAACTCAATCTCAGTAAGAGTGAAATATCTTCTCAGAAGATAAAGTCGGAGTCTTCTTTAGACAAATACACGGTTTGGCCTAACCTATACTCTAGCTCCGCCCACTAGATATTGAGTGTTCCTTTTCTTTGAATATCCCACACAAAAACAATGAAAAAGGTACATTGTAACTTTCTGATAAACTTGTTAAACATCTCCAACTTCCATTGTTTATTCGAGGAGGAACAATTAAAAGGCTGAAATGAAATACAAAATGGGCCAACCTCCTCAATACTTCACCACTTTTGAAGTTGATTTAGAAACATGTATGTTTTTAAGTTACAAATCTTAGTGACTGACTGCAGAATTACCTGCTGAGGAAAATCTCCATTTTCAAGCTGAGAATTTATCAATACCTTTGCTGCACGGTGTAATGGAGTTGGATCCCTATCTCCCTGCACAACAAGATATAATACTTTTTAGTGGTTATCACGAAACAAATGACTTCATTGATTTTATCTAAAGCACAAAGTAATGCAGCTAATTAGAGTAGTGTACACACATCAAGAAGTTGATAACGAGAAAGTAGCGGAGAAGTGCATCACTTTTCGGCCTGAAGACCCATAACTTGGTTGCAGTCTTATTTATCATTTATGAAATTTCATAATTAGACAATTTCTTGCAGTTAACATGCAGAGGCGGTTTCTGGATTTTAGCCTCTAAGGTTACTAACATTTTCTTTTCATATCTCCATGAAAAAAAGAAAGAGAGATTAGTTTGTTACTGCTAACAATCACAGAATTTTTCCAATGGAATAATTAACCATTCCCTCAACATCACTTCGAAGTTTTCATCAATCGGTAGTCTATATTACTTCAATGATAGTTAAGTTTATTACTGCTAAGAATATAGACTTCATGATAGTTGAACGGTCAACTATCATGATATTCTTACCAGTAATAAACTAATCTTTCAAACTAATGGAAATTAGCTTTGGTTCAGAAGAAATCAGATCATAATTTATTTAATGGCTTATTGGTCCTCAAAACTCTTACAAGACAAGCTGCTTTAACCAACAGCTCCTCAGAATGAGCTATATTTGCGGTGGAAAATTATTTATACCTGTCCAGCTTCAATAAGAGCCAGCATAGCCCATGCAGTACAAACACTGTGAGATTTGTTACCCTTAAGATTTGTATACACCTATAAGAGTAAAAAAAATATTGAAAGTTACAACGCAGAACTGAGAGGAAAAAATAACTCCAGCAATTGCAAATACTAATTTAGAGTTATGTACATTAGTTGAGATGAAATAGCCCCGACATAGTTATCAATTTGATTGTAACATTTTTCTATTCGTCTATCTAACACGATTACTAAATTAGTTGATTATATATGTATTACATTAATGATTTCTATGATATTTCAAGTTCTAAATCAAAGAGTTTTTATCCAGCCGGAGAAAGTGAAATACAAGGTATTACAAAACAAGAAGCAAATTTGAAGAATGTTATCTTTCTAGTATGTTTACTTAAGACTCACATTTATTGTAGAGAACAGATGTTAAAATTTACATGACATATGCATTTTCCACCATGCATTGAAAGATCGAGTACAAGGTATGAATGACTTTTACCTTGTTTTGACAAGACAGATAACTCTCTCCCCATCCACCAGACACTACTTGTTTTGATAACAGAAAATCACAGGCCTTACGGATGTTATAAGAATTGTTGAAGTTCCTCCCAGCATCCAGCAGGCCCTTCACCCCGAACCATGTGCCATACGTAAAGCAAACTCCCCAACATCCATACCTAACCATAAACCTCAAGATTAAGTGAATACTAATGGTTTTACTGGCCAAAGAGGGGGGAAAAAAAAAAGAAACAGGCTTAAATAAGAACTAACCAGGAGCCATCTGCTTCTTGTATCTTTTCAATGAAGGCGGCACCTTTTTCAATACAACGCTCCACATCTTCTTTCCGATACCCAGGGTATAATTTCTTAAATGCTGCCAAAGCTTGAATTATAGCTGAGGTACACTCTACGTAACTGCAAATATTATTGGGGTTAATGTTAAGATCTAGACTTTTTAGCACACACCTCAAGTAGTTTAGTGGATGAAACAAGATACAGGTGTAGATGCCTTACGGATAATCAATAACAATATCACCGAAAGTCTCAGCAGGGTTGATTATCTGAAGGAGGAAAACACAATGCAACATTAACAAAGGACTTGCATATTAGGATTAATCTGAGCAAAAGAATCAGAAAACATGCAAGTCGTGCCCTATTTATATTCTTCATCAGAAATTACATATATTAGCAAAACAACTAATATATCTAAATGAATCTGGGGATCTAAGTTCGCACTTCAGACTCCTAGAGTCATCCTATGCTAAGATCTGTCATTATGTTGAGACATGATAATGCAGTTTCCCACATCCCTGGATATCTGCATGAAACATTAAAGTTCCCAGTACTTATACAACCAAGTAGTCTGAAACTGTTGGACTTTGACATCAGATACCCTAAACTTTGAGGATTACCATCCTGTTGTCCTTGTGAAATGTGATAGCTGATAAAAGGAAGAGATTACAAGCAACTATTTGCTTTAGGCCATAAAACTAGTGGCCGGATGGCAAAAATAATAATAACTTTGCTGAAACATCAAATGCTATAAAAAGGCAAATTAGTGCACAGAAATAAAAAGTCAGGTTGGTGCAAATGGATTACATGAATGAACAACTAAAACAAACTAAGTAGATTATAGATATCAAAAAATCCTTGACATGGAACTAATGTTATTTGCCAAACTGAATACCTCCAACCATGGATACGACCTTGACAGTTCATATGTCCCAATGCCACCGTCAGGATTCTGCAGATCACATCATAGAAAAGACGTCATTAATGATTCAAAGGGATGTGAGGTTTCAAGAGAATTAGAAAAACCAAATGCAATTGATGTAACTGTAACTATCATGAATCATTTTCATCTCATATTGGCAGAAAATTTATTGTCACAGTGAACCCCTAACTGATATATTTGCATAGTAGGATTGTGCAGAAGATGAGGCTTGCATGAACACTTATTTAGTTCTCAATGATGAAGACATCCTCATCACTGTAAGCTTTCAAACTATATTGTTGTTCCTCTGATTTTTTGTTGATGCATTTTTACGTTCTATTATTTCTTCTGCTTACAAGTTATTGTAATAGGAAGATAATCCCTACAATCATGAAAGTGGCAAATGTGACAGTGGAGCTTTACTGGCCGCTCTTGTTTGTTAAGCTGTCAGAGAAGAGCAACATTGTCATCTCCTCATGAACTTCGGCTCAATGTAGTATCAAAAATTATTTCTGAGACCCATATTTTGGTCTGGAAAAAATCCCAATTTGTCAAGCTAAGAACGGAAAGACCTAACAGAACATGAAAAAACTGTTTTGAACTGAAATTACTACGGTTCGGTTTCAGTTACCAAAATCGACAAATAGAAATCCAAAAGGCTGAATGGGACTTCTGGGAAACCAAACCAAGCCAACAGATGCCAACCCCTAATCAAAAGTTTGATCTAGTGAGAAAAAAAACATATTTTCCGATTACAAGAAAAAATGTTTTTACCTGTAATGACAGCATAACATTTACAGCATCATACAAACGGTTTGCCTTCAATGGCTCACCAACTATTTCCACAGGTAGTTTAGAGAGTAGAAGACATGCCTGATAGACATGCCACGGAGAGATTAGATTACTACAAATCAAAATGTCTCAACGAGTCATGAAGGTTTAACAAAAATGCCTACTTTTAGTCCTTCTGCAGTACAATCTGAAATAGGCCAACCATGATCTGCAGTAGAGAAAGGCCAAGCCCCTTTTGAAATATGCCGATACCAGAAATCAAGATTGCCTGGGCAATCATCTAACACCTTTATGCAAAAGAAAGAATCTAGCAATTAACACCAACACCGGAGATAAAAATGAAGATATATAAGGAAAAAGTGCCACATATATGCTAAAGAACAAAGGCCTTACCTGTGAGTTTTTCATGAACTTATGTGCTTTTCGCAAAGTTGGACCATATTCTTCAACAAGGTTAGTTGAAATGATTGCTTGAATAGCAAAAGAAGTATCCCATGATTGACTTCCATTATATCCCTGAAATTTGGCATTCACATCATCTTTAGACGACTAGAAATAAGGCAAAAAATGTTAAAACAATTAATATCACTGCAACTATAAGGGAATTGAAGAAATTCTGCCAATGCAGATATCTATAAAGTTAAACAGTCCTACTTTTGGAGAACAACATAATTAGAAGCTAAAGACATGAATATTATGAAGTGATGTTATTAGATCCAGACCTGTATTTTCATTCCATCTTCAGCAATCCATAGATAATCATATAATCGTGGAAGATGCAACTTAAAAGCTTCTGAACTAGAATCTTCAACCCAGCAACAAAGCATATTTAAGACCTGCACATGAGGGGTCAGTTTACGAAAAAAGGGAAGGGAAGAATATATGATGTAGCACCAGAATGGAGAAGGGAGAACAATATAAGAATGGAGAGAGTAATAGGAGAACGAGAAAGAAAAATAATAAAGAGAGAGAAATCAATATTGTCCGTTCATATTAATAGTTGTAGTATTGCCCCTATAGTTTCTTGTCCTTCAATTTTTGTTACTATATGTTGTTCTTTGTACCTAGATTATTGTGTTGTTTTGTTGTAGTTTCTGGCTTGTTACTATCTGTTGTTTCTGTTACTGTTTTTGTTATTATCTATTTTTTCTTGTACTTTCATTGCTTCCTGTTCGGGACTGTTTTAGACTATATTTTCTTTAGCCAATGTTCTATTGGAAACAATATCTCTACCTCTAAGGTAGCGGTAAGGTCTGTGTACACTCTACCATCTCCAAACCCCACTTTGTAGGACTACAGTAGGTATGTTGTTGTAGAGGAATCAATTCATAGTGTTATACATCAAGCCAAAACAAAAAGCAACTTCAGAGTCCTATTAATAGGAAAATTAGTTCTGAACAGGTTAAAACTCTTAAAATTACTATAACTCTATCTCTATCTAAGAAGATAAGACTAGACAGGAACTTACTTATAAAACAACAATAACTACGCCTTAGTCCCAAACAAGTTGCGATCGGTTTATGAATCTTCACTGACCATGTTACTCCATTTAAATTGATCTTAGGCGAATATTATACAATTACATGACATCTCATTGTGGGATCTGGTGGGGTGGAGTGTACGCAACTTTAACCCTACCTTATGAGGGTAGAAATATTGTTTCCGATAGACACGGCTCGAGTAAATCATAACAAAACAAGAAAGAAAAGAGAATACATGAAAGAATACCAGTTACACCAACAAATAATACAATAATCGAAGCAAAAGTAACACCAGATAATAATAAGAAGTATAACAAAGTAGGAGAGAATTTTACTAATTACACTGATAAGGAAATCTAGACAGACCAGTGCATCTACCTACTAACCTTCTACACTAATCCTCAACCTCCATATCTTCTTATCAAGGATCATGTCCTTGATAAAATAAAATTGGAAGTTCAAGAAATTCCTTATATTTTCTAATGTGCATAAATCTGAAACAACTCTTTGAAAGCACAATATGTGAATTAAATGTTCTAACATGATAAAAACATATTTTCAACAACTAGTTATTTCCTATATAGGTCCTTTTCCTCGATTGTGCCCTAACTTCACTAAATCTGTATGGATCAAGACAACTTACTTCCAAATAATTTTACGTCTACCTCGGCTACTTTTAACATCTCTGCTCACCATGGTATCACAACGGATAGATGCATCTAGAGGTCGACACAAGACATAACCCTAAGCGACCTCCACTTATCCTCCATGTGTGCTACTTGAACCTTCTCGTGAATGTGGCCATTAATAATCTTGTATAACCGCATTTCTTCTTAGTATCTGCATGTGCGATACTCATCTAGCGGATGTGTAGGACTTTGGCAGCCCAACACTTGCTCCCATATAATATTGTTGGTCTTATTACAGTCCTATTAGAACTTATGTTTCACTTTGGTAGGCATCATTCTGTCACATAACACCCCCAGTAAAACTTATCCATTTCAATTCAATTTTGATTCAATAACTACATACACATTTTTCTGAGGGAAAAAACCATCGATTTCTGATTTAAAAAAAACCGATGAATAGAGTTCTGTTAGAAATTATCACTTCAGTGAGGAAAACTAACAGACACTGTTGGGATTTTCTGATGGCCTCCAGAAGTTGATTAAATTTTGAAGAATTGAATTTTTTGAAAAACATGGGGAAAAATTGAACAAGTACCAAGGGAGTCCCTCTAAAAAAATACCGACGGAGTCCCTCGAGGAATGGAACACAGGTCTGTACCGTGGCATGGAATCGTTCTACCACCAGACCATTAGTGCTCATTGATATCTGACTTCTGTATTTGTTTTTAATTCATACTCTTCAACCACATTTATGCACCATGGGATCTCATCTTGTGTTGCGTTGGTTAGCTCATCCACCACAAGGGATAAACAAGTACAGGCTAAATGCCGATTCCTACTGTAAACCACAATAATGGAGAGAACTCCTTTGTTACTCCTATTATAGTTCTCATGCTAGTGATGGCTCCTTCATACGTGTCCTTTATGACATTTTTATGTATAGTATGACTTCTTTTTTCCTCCAACACCAACAAAGGACCTTTCAAGGTGCTTTTTCTAATTAGAAAAAAATATTGTTTCTGAGCCTTATCTTATCTTTAAAAAAATAATTAAAGATCGTATAAACTTTATTCCAACTAAAAGATAAAAAGATAAGGGCAACTTAAAACTAAAGATCATAATATTGCAGTGTCTTTTTGAACTACATTATTTTCCCTCAGTTGTAAGGAAAAAAACACGACTATGATAAGTACAAATGCTGGCCAAACTCCAAAAGTTCTAGATTTATGGAATATAACACATACTCAGTTCATGTAGCATCAAGTGATAATCCTTATATTGAATAAACTTTTGCTTCAATCACCAACTAGAGCAGATAAAAAGAAGTTATTTTTTAGTACCTTGTTCACGGGCCCTAAGCATATATAGCGAGTATTTTCATCTTCATAATGTATGTGATCCATTACTGTGCTAAGAGCTTTTTCCCTCAACTTTTTCCCAGGCCAATGCATAAACAAAGGTTCGATGAGCTTGTCAAGAGATGTCCAAAGGATGTCCTGTAGTAGAGGGTGAGGATAGTAGAGGTCTTCCTGTGAAACATTGCATAACATGATTAAAACTATAAGGAAAAGAAGAGTAAAGAAGTTAAAATATTCCACATGGCTTTACATCTGCTGCTTATTATTATACAGGTTTTCTTTTGATGTGGACCAAATTAACATCATGAACTTCGGGCAATAGGAGCTGACTTCCCTGTTATATGATGAAATTGGACCAATTGGGGGAGGTAGGTATCTACTCAAAATAAATTCCGTGAGCCAAAGTTGAAACAGCTAAAAGGAGTAATCTGATCATACATTTTTAAGGTTCGACGCTGAAAAGTAGTCTACTAGAAACAAAACAAAATTAGCGAATTGGACCATGGATGAAGTCAATCAATCACCATAAAATTCCTAAGGAAATATAGAGTGAAACAAGGATTTAACACTAAAAGAGGTAACTTAATTAAATGTAGATCCAGAACAGTCTATGTATAAAAAAAAAGAAAAAATTTCAACAGCATGAGCTAAATTAAACAATTGTGTTATCCTAAAGTGGAGTGAAGATAAATATGCTCAAGATCACTTGTAAGTTATTTAAGCTGAGATAGGATAAATATTATTTTTCCTCCTACAGAAGTTAGTGCAGTAACAGAAAAATGCATGATTAATAATGGCATGTATTGACATTTTGCCATAAAGCTTAAACCTTATTCTAATGAAAGTCAGATCACTTCCAAAAGGATATTTATAATACAAGTTTGGCCACTAAACAATCATAGTATTTAGGGATGTTCGTCCACACAGATGGAATGCCATATGATTATAGTGGGGGGGAATGGAAGATTGTTAATGAAGGAGTAAGATAGATAAATGAGATAATAATTCTGATATAGCAGGATATTTTTAAATCTTGTCAACACAAAATATGTGCCTTCGAATTGCAGTCATACTAACCTTTGCACATTCATTGCGTGCTTTATTCCAGTTTATTTTATGATAAGGGACTGTGAAGAGCTCCTTTCTCAAAGATAAGACTGTTGGTGTGATCGGTCCAACAAACCGTTTACCATATAAGTAGGACATTGGCAGATAAACCATACGACAATGGCACCACATCCTTCCTACAAGAGTGAACAAAATAAGTGTTCTCTTTTCTTACAGAAGACAAGATGCAGATGTTTCTGAAAATGAATCAGTTATTTGCATTATGACTAGCAACATCGTTTTACAGCTTAGCATTTCCAGGAAACAAGAGAACAGACAGCCAACAAATAGCTTATCGGAAAATAAGCTTCTTACTGAACTTCAATTACATTTGGTAACAAAGAGGTTATTTTCTTGACAGTAAGGCTTGCCAACCTAATCACTTGATATAGATTTGTTACTTTATTTTCATGAAGAATGTAGGAAGTGAATCAAGCCTTCTATTTCATCTGTCTCCAGACAAAAAAGATATGCTCTGGATTTGAGATTTATAAATTGACAAGTAATGAATAGACAAAACTGCTGACTAACCTGGATGAAATGGAAGGATATAAGGAAGAAGCCACATCTCTGGAGGAAGTGGATTGTTCCCAGACCAATCAAATACTCCAAGCACCTAATGAATGATCAGTAGAGAAAGAAAATTAAAAATAATCAAGACTGAAAATGCATGTGACCACAAATGTATAAATAAGCAAGTAAAAGTTTAAGTTACTGAACTGAGAGCCACATTTTCCCCCACGAGGTTATTGCAGTGGCAGTACCATGGTCCAAAATCCATTTGCGGCCCTTCTCCATTGCCCCTTCTCCACCATTAGCCTTTTCACCAAGCAACCTCAGAGTAACATAGCTCAGAACTGAACCAAACATGGTACTATGGCTTTCAATATGCAAACCCCACCCACCATCACAGTTCTGTCATTTAATAATAAATGTTTAGGATAAACAGTAAAGAAAGTCTTGAATAGAGAACTATTCAATTAATATAAAAGAGTAAGATGAAATGTAATTGTACATGCCTGATGATTGTAGAGATAACGACATATCTCTCGCTTATGCTCTTCGGATAACACTGCATTCAGTGCCCCAGTAACAGATAAAGCAATAACCTATAATACCAACAATATAAGAATAAAGAAAGTGAAGTGCTTATATATATCTGGCTGGTATGTATAATGAGATTGACCAACCACATATCTAATAAAGACAACGCAAGAAAAGAAATTACCAAACCAGGCAATAGAAACATTGGTCCTCCACAATCTGCTGCCCAATGACCATCATGAGCTTGTAGAGTAGAATAAAAACTGATGGCTCTTCTCAACGTGGTGGCTACATTATCTTCTGTTATATCTCCAATATCTTTAACTTGAACTCGGGGCAGAATTGTACCAACGGGGTTCTCCTTTGAAAACTGAAATTCAGAAAATAAAACAGACAAGAATCCATAAGTGATAACAACTATTCAGAATGGAGACATTCACTATGATCAAACTGCTATGAGTGTCTTGTTGCCAAGTCACCAAGTAGATTATGTACATATTTTTATGTGGAAATTACACACTAAACAAGATAATCAAGAGTTGCTAAGAGACTACAATCACTACTTCTAATTCTGGCAAGCAAAATAATACCGCCAGCGCATATTTATTTTCGCCATGGAGTTTAATTTGATATCATGAACATCTGTTAAATTTACAACACCAAAGAATTTCACATCCTCTATGGTATGCAACACAAAATAATCTTAGAATCTTCAATAAAAACCATAAATATACTCACAAAATACCAGAGGAAGTCTGACCTATATTTTTAAAAACTTTTCTTAAACCTCACCATCCGAAATGTTCAAATCACTCCTAAACTTGGCAAGAATTTAGGAGTGTATTTGACTCGGGTAGCAAAATCAAGGGTGTACTTAAGTTCAGCTAATCATGTAAAATGGTATTTTTTAGGTTGTCAATAATTGAAGATGAAACTGATGATTCACACCAAGTTTAGTTAGGGTGTTTTTAGTATTCTCCTCTTTCCAAAAAGATATTTTGAACAAAAACGAAAATACCAAACATACCTAAAAAGAAAAAAAAAATTGTAACTAAAGCACGTGTTTGTCTACGTAATAAGAAACAATGGATAATATTGGTAATATAGATACTCATATTATCCATTAGGTTTACCCATTTTTATCTATATTAAATGAGTCGAGTCGAATATTTTATTCATTTTCACCTAACTCATTTTCAACGGACTCGACCCGCTCATTTGACTTCCCTAACTACAATAATTAAGCTTTGGAGCTGACACATGTATATAGCAACTTACAACTTACAAATCAGCAGCATCCTTCCCCAGATAGTTAACCCAAAAAAATATTGTTCAATAGACTTGATTGTTCGAATGCGGGAATCTCATTACTCATTAGCTTAGCTTATTGTTTGGTTACCTGAAATCTAACCTAGTTGGTGAAGGTTCGATTCCCATGTTATAATCTCCATCCCAATTTAATTTTTTAAAGAGATTGCTGAAATTTCATCTTAAAAATTAGACCATTCATTCCCATAATTTCGTAAAAATTGTATACTAATTAAATTTAGGTAGAATTAAAAAATATTTTTGCTAAAGTAGGCACGTCAATAGAAACATGTCTGCGTGAGACAACTCTCTTTTGAATTGTATACTAATTAAATTAAAGTAGAACAAAAAAATATTTTTTAAGTTCTCTTTTTTTGATAATATTCTTGTTGAAGCAGTATGTCAACGTAAAACATGTATGCTTCAGCCAATTCTTTTTTGAATTGTATAGTATTTAAATTATAGTATAATTAAAAAATATTTCTTAAAACTTTTTTTTGAAAATACTCTTACTGAAGAGGCACGTTGACGGAAATATGTCTGCTTCAGCCAACTTTCTCTTATGTAATAAAAAAAAAGTGCAGTTATAGGTGGTCTCAAATGTTTTAGCTGCAAAGAAGCATTGACAAAAAATTATCATATACTTCCCTTTGTCCACTTTTAATTGTCATGATTTTTTTAAAGTCAAACTATAAGAATTTTGACTATCTTTTTATATAGTTTTTAAATATCTAATTTTTTTGTTTATAATATCAAATTAACGTAATCTAATTTAACTTTGAAAATTAGTCAAATTGACTTACGAGCAAAATGACAATAAAAAATGGACGGAGGGAGTAATTATTTTCTTAATATTTCAAAAAGTTAAAATGAGTTTAAATTTTATACACCATCTTAATTTTAAAGCTTAATATTTCAAAAGGTTAAAATAAGTTTAAATTTATACACCGTCTTAAATTAACTTTAAAATGAGTTCAAATATATGCTATCTAATTAAAATACTATGATTGACCCATTTTTTGGACAATATTAAATTTGACTCTATTTGACGACAAAGACAAAGATATCGACGAGTTAGAAAGGATACCCGAATAAAAAAAAGCACGACATATTTTTTGAAAAAATTCCAATTAATTGAGTGTTCTTGTAATTTATTCTATTCAATTTCTTTAGTTATCTTTATCAAATATACACTATTTTATTTTATTTTTGGTAAAAAATAAATAAATATACACTATTATAAAACTATGAAATCCTAATATGGATGTTGATTGACTTTTTATCATTTAAAAATAATTTTATATGAGATAATTATAATTTAACTATTTCCTAATTTTAAAGGTTTTGAAATCAATTAAAATTTTGATTTTACATCTTTCAAATAATGTTGGTTGTCCTGATCATTAAGAATTAAAATCGATTAAGATTTTGTTTAGACATGATAAAACAATCAAATCAACGATAAAGAACAAAATCCAACAAATCATTTATAAAAGAAGATCAGGTGAGACAATAAACATATTTGAAATAAACTACTTATTAACATCATTTAAATAGATATAAAATTTATTTTAACATCAATTACCATATATATTTATATAGTTTTAACCTTCATATAAATATTTTTTTCGATTGACATGTGATACGCGTGTGTACGCTAAACTAGTAAATAGTACTAATAAGAAGAACATGAACGACAAAGCATGTCGTAGGAATTTGCATGATCACTTCACCTGATAACGCATAAGAAGATCAGAGCTGTGTTTAGTCTCAAAACGATTTTTGTAAAACTCTAGGCGAAACTTCTCAATCTCTTCCAGGTCTTTCGGAGACCCGAGATTCGGATCAAACTCCCATACATGTCGCCCTATGTGACCGTTTAACGTTCGGAGCCATGGACTACCTCCTTCAGCAACCTTCAACTTCCACATTCTTCTAAACAAAAAAAAAATATTACTCTGACAAGAGAAAGAGATGATCTTGGCGGAAGAAGGAAATATGGTACAAAGTAAGCTTAAGTGTAATTGATGTTAAAATAAATTTACTCCATTTGACTATAAAATTATAAGTCTTATCTTAATTCTAAATCATGAACATTTCATTTACTCCATTTAGTCATAAAACTATAACTTCAAATTTCCTCTTGTCCACAAAATAAACTAGAGTTAGAGCCTGTTTGGCATTGTCGTTGGGATGTCAAAAAAGTGTCTTTTTGGGAAAAAACATTTTTTTTTAAAAAATTAAGTATTTGGCAAATCCTTAAAACTATTTTTAATAAATGGAAGCAGAAACAATTTTGATGCAGTTAGGAAAAAGTTAAATTGTCACAACCCAGACCATCGTGATTGGCACCCACACTAACCCTCCGGTGGGAGAACCACTAATACAACCCAAACCAAACAACTAAACCAAAAACTAAAGCACTTAAGCTACGAAAGCAAATTAAATAACTAAAAATTGAAGTTCCCATAAACTTCCAAAAGATCTAACAACTAAACAATGCGGAAAATACATCTAGAACCTGAAAGTCAATGTACCAAAACATCTAACAAGATCCATAAGTCTAACCAGAAGAGTTACAACCCCAACTAATAAACTAATAACTACCTAGAAAAGTCTAAATCCGAAATGTGGACATAGACGAAAGAAGAACTCATGGCAGCGTGGTAGAACTGGCTCACCCTTGAATTTGAACAACGATCACCGATCTTCTAAGCGAGGTCTGTCAATAGCCGCCTGAAGATGCCCTGTACTCAACAAAGAAAGAGCAAGTGTAGTATCAGTACATAACCACAGTGTACTGGTAGGATCACGCGGCAATCCCACTAAGTGCATCAATCAATACAACAATATAATCACATGCAAAATATCGAACATATACAAGATTATCAATATTTACGAACAACGAACAACTTCACATTTCTCAAGATAAACAATTATGAAAGTCATTGGTCCTCTCATGGAACCCAAACCCAAACAGTTAGCATACCGGAATATGGTACCCAATCCAATGTTTATGCCAGAATGTGGCAACCGATCCCATAATTATGCCGAAATGTGACAACCGATCCAAGTTAGTGTGTCGAACTGTAACATCTCGCACCTAGAAATGACTATAATGAGTTTAAAATAGGAAAATATTAATTTTTGGAAAGAATAAGGAAATCTGGAAATTTTGCCTAAGTTAAGAAAGTGAGTTTTGGCCATTTTCAAACGGCCATAACTCCTAGCTCAAGAATAGTTATGAGAAGATCCTAATATGGTTGGAAAGCACTTAGAGAGATATTTCCAACGCCGCCTATATTGCATGATTTCGACATCGTATGAGTGAGATATGCCTTTCGAAAGTTGGGTTGTTGGATTGAGGAAAGTCCCAATCCGGATTTAGGGAAGGGCAAAGTAGTCTTTTCTCTAATTAATTTCCTAATTTGATTTTAGGGATTTATTGGGGTAAAAACATGACTTAGTCATTTTGGAGAATTGAGAAATACGCTTAGGGATTGGAGAAGAGAGAAAAGAAGAAAGAAAGGGAGAAAAAGCGAATTCGTCAAGATCATCCAAGCTTGCGAGTGAAATTCATTGGGGGTGATCCCTATTAAGGTATATGAGATCTTTTAGTGATGGGTTAGTGCACCCACACACCAACTTGTTTCAATTCAGCAATTTGGAGTTGTTTGAATGTTGAGAAAGTGAAGTTCTTGAAGAACATTGTTGAATTCTTGTTGGTTGATTGTTGAATGCTTGGGGTTTGATTTGATTCATGTTTCCGGGCTGTTTTCGAGTTATATTGGTTGTGTATTTAGGGTACAATTGATCATAAGTGTTTGGGGAAAGAACTAGGGAAGATTGAAGGATTTAGAGATGAAAAACGAAGGAGAAAAGTCGGGGTTCACCTGGGAAAAGGGTGGGGCGTCGCGCCAGCTAGCGCGCCCCAAAAGGGCCTCTGAAGTCCACCTCTTGGGGCGCCGCGCCAGCCAGCGCGCACCAGCCCATCCTCTGAAGTTTGAGGGTTGGCACACCACGCCTCTCAGAGCGCCAGGGACGCCAGTTCTCCCCATTC